CGTCAATATATGCTCACACATCCGGGCGCCGAATGCTAAGAGTCGTTTACAATCGGAGAGAACACGGCACGTGTGTCCTGTTTTGTCAACGTGCTTGCAGCCATTTCCGTTCGTCGTGCTGTATAACACAGCTGACTTGGGTCGACAACCAAGGGCAAAAGAAATAAAGCACATATATAAATTACTGGCATAATAATAATGTCTCATGTTTTATGTCCCAAGACCACTGATGAGAGACGCTGTAATGGAGGGCGACGGGAATTTCAGCCATCTGGTCTTCTTTAACGTGCGCTGAGCCACTGACACCGCACAGGCCTCTATATCATCTCACCTGTATTCAAAATGCGACCGCCCAGCCGGAATCGAACCTGCGACTTTCGGATCAGCAGCCGAGCACCTTGACCACTGCTCCACCGCGGCGGAAGAATTACAGGCATCGATTTGTCCTATTGCCTATAGCGATTTGTAAAGCTTGATAACGACTTGTATATAGGTGTATGTGTGTGTGTGTGTGTGTGTGTGTGTGTGTGTGTGTGGTGTGTGTGTGTGTGTGTGTGTGTGTGTGTGTGTGTGTGTGTGTGTGTGTGTGTGAGAGTGAGAGAGAGAGAGTCTCCGGTATAAAGTGAGTTAATTTCACAATGAGCTGTTGAGGAGAAAGTTGTAGGTGTTCTTCATTAATAACTACAACCGAGAGTTGCATAATTGAAAGTTTCGCTGCTTTACGGGCCGCGGGACGGGGGACTTCGAGAAAGCTTATTTCCACGTCTCCGTTTCGCTAAAAAATCGATGCTATACAAATGAATGTTACCGCAGGCAGGGTTTCTATGTCTGTATTATGGGTGCGTTTGCGTTGAAGCCAGGCTCGTGTTATTTTGCTTAAAGGGCGTGAAATTTCATCCGCATATGGTGGACAAACACTAAAACATCAACCGAGAACATAAAAGTGGCGAGACGAACCAAAGCGAAACTGAACGTACTTTGCGTTTCGAGGGCAAATTACTGAAAAATCGGGGAGTTCGCCATTCGAGTCAAGATTTCGCTGTCGTACCGTGCCATGCATAACGTCGTCCAGCGAGCGGAGATTTCAACCCTTTGCCTGGCGTCCGCGAGAACACACTGCAGTTTTTGTGGGGGTGCTGCTTCGCGGATGGCGACAACGCCGACGACCGCTGTGAGCTGATCTGATTTTAAAGCGAGGCTGGAAGGGTGTAGCAGTAGATGCCCCCCTCCCCCCTGCTTTTCGCGTGCTCTCGACCCCGATCGCAGGAAGCAGCCTAATCGGCACCCGAGTCACGCTAAACAGTGACGAATATCGATGGTGCCACGAGCGAGGAAGAAACGGCTGAGCTGAGCACAAAGGAACGTTGGAGCCGGCACGCGGCTTCAGAAAACTCCGATCAATCAATCAATAATTTTGTCACGGGAGAGTAATGGCTGGAGCGGAGGAAAATAATCTGCGCGAGACAGGGCTGCTCCGCTATATATATATATATATATATATATATATATATATATATATATATATATATATACAGAAAGCAATGTATACACACGTATTTGCGGGTGCGTATGTGAGAGAGAGAAAGGGTAAACGTTTTCGCGTCAGCGACCTTGAAAAATAAGCTTACCTACGAAACAAAACAAAAAATATTTGCCTGGCGAGACGGAGACGAAGCAGAATGGCGTGTTGCGTGCGTTGACGTGAGCGAAAGCTATAGCTTGTGCGGTAGGGCTTCGTTTGTTTTGGAGATGAAAGAAATAATGGCGAGCGTGGTTTCGTCTTCAATTACTTCAAAAGGCTTGAACAGAATGTAGACGTCAGTCAAGCGGGCGCTCGTCGTTTTGAGAGGCAGTTAACAACAACGTGCTTTTCTCTTCATTTATTTTTCCTTAGAACCACTCGCCGTGACCCACTCGCCAAACTGCGTATAACGGCGCTTTCTTTTCGACATGAGGGAGTAACTGTTCTTTTTTTTTCTCGTAAAATAAGCCAAATACAGCTCACCCAACTTTCTAAAGCAAATGATTGTTCGATGCAAACCTGTCGATCAACTGCATTTAGTGTATGTTGTCGCGCCACATGCGTGCAGTTATACGAGCAGTGCACGAACAGAGGTTCAAAGTGAGCTCAACCAAGCGAAGACAGAAACCAGAAATTCTGTTTGTATTGTACGCGATGAACCCCGATTCACGAATAGATTTGGCGTTTTTTTTTTTGCTTGTGAAACAGTGCGACAAAGAAAACAATGTTCAAAGTTTCATTTTTAAATTTCGCATCAAAGTTTCCTTGCACTTAAATCGGCTTGTTGTCGCGGATTTCAAAGTATTTTATAGAATACGTAAAAATACTCCGAAATCGTGATACAATAGGCACATCGGGTCTACAAAAGATCTTCAAAGTTTTAATCAATTACGAATTACGTAGACCATAATAGATACCGTCAATATATGACGTGATGGCGACTAGAGGGGAGAGCTCTTTAATGACCCCTTTTAATGGGATCCGCCCACGTGCTTTGCAAACTCGTTCGCGGGTTTATTCACTTATTGAACTTCAGCTCAGTTAGAAACTATTTAAAGGAATGTCTCATGGGCGCAAGGTGCCGTTATCGCTTCTTGCTGCGATGGGCAGAAGAACTTTGGGACTATTCATGCAGTGCATCTACACCATGCGTAACCTGACAACCTCTTCTAGCGTCTGTTCTAACGCGCAAACTGCGCTTCCCTTCCCCACTCTCATGAAAGAGCGGAACTTCGTCGAAACCGCCTCCCTACTTCGCTTTTTTGCATACGTCTTAGTGGAGCGAAGCATTCTACCTAAGTGCGCGCATACAGAGCACGTCGGGAAACGAAGTCTTCCGCTCTGGTAACCTGCTCTGGCAACTTATGCAAAACTCGTTTTTGTGATGCCTGTAGAGTGTTTCGTTTCGAAAGGCCGCGTGCTGACCCTTTATTTTATTTTTTCCCCCTCGTTTATTCCTTCGGCGCTGACCGAATTTGCTGATATCTATCTTTTCGCGGGCGCGTTTCGTGTTTGAGCAGCAAACGCGCGCGCGCACTTTTCGAGTATGCCCCCGGCGGTACACTGATTTCCCATGACTCCGTTGAGCAACACATGTAGCAGTCCTCTGAGGATCTGTCGCCTTCCCAAGAAGGGTGCGTTCGAGCGGCCCCCCTCTTCAAGATAGGATCGCGAGCAGCCGCGCGCATATGCGCGCCACACTAGATGGTCTAGTCGAGGCAACACCCCGCGCAATGTGGCCATAAAGAACAGCGAACGAAGCCAGCTCTCCGCGTTGCAAAACGAAACACAACAGATGGGAAGACCGGGTGCCCGTCCGAAGGGAGGATGCGAGGGCAACCAGAGAGCAACAGCGGCCTTTTCTACGGCGGCGCGGCGCACAATATCTGACGACACTCCTCCCTCAGAAGCCCTTTATGCAGGTGGGCCTCGTCTTGTTGCCCGTCCCCCTCCCGCCTCTTCGTCAGGGGAGCACCGCCACCATCGCGCAGGAATGCGGAACTCCGCGATCAGACTCGATCGACTTTGAACCTCGATGTTGTTCTCACAATTTTACATTTTGTCTGCCGCGCTCCGCTTCTTTCTTTCTCGATGACTCCCGTTGGGCAATGGTATTTCTTTTCACGACTGTAATAACATTCCAATGTTCCACCGATTATAAGAAAACGCGAGAGTCCAGGGCTCGCAAAAGAATTACAAGCCAGAAATAATGGGGCTTCCCTGCCAATGCGACACTCTGTCGTGGGCCGGCTGTTGTCACGGAAAGAGCATTTGAAAAGGTACCGAAAAGCGTCTGTCGCGTTTTACGAGCGCGCGCGACACATCTCGCTGAGAAAGAGTGCTGAAAGCACCTGGACACAAGGGAAAACATGCTGTCGACGGTATCATCACGCTCTCGACCTTTTGTTCCCGCTTCTTACATGCGACAACTCGTTGGTTTATTTTGCTCACAGGCACGCGAAACTACAGCACAAGGAAGAGTTCCACTAAACATATGTGATTTGGATCACTGAAGTTCACTTTGCATCTTGTGTTGCCGAAAAAAAAAGGACGGGAATGATCTGCTGGTTACAGTAAAACAGATAGCTGGGCGAGTTGGTATGTATTCTTATAACTTTTTAGCGCGCACAAAATAGAGAACAAGGGAGAGACAGACGAGCGCTCGTCTCTTTTGTTATGTATTTTGTGCGCGCTAAAAAAGTTACAATATGAATCTGCTGGTTGTTTATTCAAGGTGCCTGACCACGCGGTACGCGCAACTTCACTGGGTCCGAAACGGTGGATCAGTGCTTAGGGTTCTCTGCTGCTGACCCTAAAAAGCCCTGAGTTCTATCCCGGCGCAGCGGTATCATTTCGGTGGAAGCGAAATGGTAGAGGCCTGCGTACTGTGCGATGGCAGTGCACATTACAGAACACCAGCTGGTCAAAATTTATGGAGCCCTCCTTGCTGTCCTCCGTATTATACCGTGATTTTGGAGTGTAAGGCCCCACATATAAGAACTTTACTTGGGAGGGGTGGGAGATTCCCACTATAGCCTAACCCTTTTATATGCGTGCGTGCGATTGTATGTGCGCATGTAATAAGCATGCATACAGACTGAAGTTTTCTAGGGGACGTGCTGGGGGGGGGGGGGGGGGGGGTTAAATTCACAACACCACCTCGGGTTTCGCATATAATGTCCGATGAACGTTCTTGTGCCTGTTTTCGAAGAGAGCGGACACATGTTTTTTTTTTTATTTGTCAAAAGCAACGTTATGATGGCAGTGTGGCGGTAACTGGAATAGAAGTCGGTCCACACAGGTCATACATACCGTGCTCCCAAAGTTCACGGTCGACAGCGAAAGAGCGAGGCCGTGAAAACGAGAGCCACATTTTCTTCTCTTTTTTTTTCTCTCTCTCTCTTTGGTTTGCTCCCCCTCGTGTCGCGGTGCAAAGTACGCAGCGCATACGAACAGCCGCCGCAGGTGGGAAGCTGGCCCGGCAGCCTGTCGTTGCTCGACTCTGTCGGCGGGACGCGCAACGCCGACGCGGCGGTGGCACCGGTTCCCTCTCCCTGCGCGTCCCACAGTTGCCCGACGCCCGACCGCTTTTTTTTCCTGCTGACGCAAGACGCAGCCAGTCTCATAGCACGCCTCTCCGTCTAAGCTCGTCGTCCGTCGAGCAACGCCATTCCACGCAGCGCATCAACGGCCGATAGTTTCCTCGGCGACGGGATAAAAAAACCGCAGCGATAAGCCCTCTCGAGGGGGCCCCCCACACCTGACAACCACAAGGCCGGGGCTCCCTCTCCACTAGAGCGCCACCACGCCAGCGGCGGCAGCAGCCAGGTAAGCGGCTGTCCGGGTCTTGTTTACGGCTACCACTGGCACGGCGTGCGATCGCCAAGCTCGTAGCCGCGGCTTTCGCCGCGATGTATTGCCGCTGTTTACGCCCGATGCGTGCCCGTGCGCGACGGAGTGAACCAGCAGTCGTGACTTGGAACCGGCGGTCGCCACCACCCGTGGCGGAACCAGCTGAGGCCAGGTGAGGCCCGTCGGAAATGCGCGTGCACTACATGCTACGCCGCTGTCCGGAGCGAAGCCACGGCGCCTTATCTGAGAGCGTGCGCTGCTCCACGGAGGACCACCGCCCGTGCGAAGGGCATGTTTGAGAGGTTGCGTCCTGTTGCGGTCGGCTCGCGTTACCGCAGCGTGATGTTCCCGGGCTATTCGCAGTGCCGATGCGCGCTCCTCAACAGCTGGCCACTTGGTCGGTGGGAGGCACGGGGTACCCACTGCACGTATTTCACTGTGAAGTGTACGAGTCGTTTTTCCGGTTTCCAGTCGGCGAGCCCGACCGAGTCGTGTGAAATTCCACTCGCGTGTTTGCGCGCCATCGGGATACTCGTGTCTCCTTCGTTGTCGACCGTGAACACGGTCTGCTGACATCGCGCAATGGTCATGGTTTCCTAGTCTGCAGTCTTTACGAACCGTAAGTAGGAATGAATTCATCGACATGCGGCCATGAACTACAGTCTCAGGTTCGCCAGTGCTTAGTCTACCATGTCGTCGTAATTCACAGTTAACTGGTGCTTGCTGGTACGAGGAGAAGCGCTGGGATTGCATCAATGCCGGCGTGCCCGCTTGCATTGATTTCACGCAGCGCTTGTCCTCGTTACTTCCGTCGAAGCCATCTGTTTCCTTACGTGACTAAACTATGTAGTTGTTGACTACTGTAGTTGATGTGTTGTGCTAGGTTAAATTCCTTGCGGTGGAAATCCGGATTGCGCGAAATGTGGCTCGTCAACTGGGTCTCGCAAGCGTAAAAACTTCCAGTGACCAACAGTGGCTCTTGTCGCGTCAGTATATCTGATGAACATGTACTGTCCATACCAATATGAAAAAGAACAGCCTATGTGTGCTTGGAAGCAAACACTTGCAAACGGCAATGTCATAATCTCACCCACTGCTATTTTTTTTTTCGTTCCTGTTGATGAAATCAGTACCTGGAACGTTTGCTCATTGTAAGAACGCAGAATAGCCAAGGTTGAATGCAAATTCTGTGGTCAATTTTATATTGGTATTGAGGGTAAAATGCCTACACTTCTGAGAAACACTCTTACCACTCGTTGACAACACCCACCGGTTGGTAATATCGGTCCTTTGTAGAGACCAAGTGTTTTTGTGAAGTACGGTCCGTCATCTTAGACCAGATGCGTAACGTAATGCACGAAACAAGCGGTTGTCACATAGACGATTCAAGTGCCCCACGAGCTCTTTTATCAGCACATGTCTTCTTCGTAAGGCTCTCTGGTGTGCATAGCGACCTTCTTTTATTAAATCTTGGTATTCACATGCACTACTGAACGCGCTACAATTACGATCACCAGCCATTGCATCCGCACCGAGCATGAACACACCAGGCGTTAGGGAGTGCGTAGGCAAGAAGCGTGGTTTAGTTGCGTTTCAAAGTTGGCGCTGTTGCAACGAGGCAGCTAAACATGCGTGTCGCATCACAGCCGTGGCCTTACTGTTCCAGCTTTAAGAATGGCGGTCGTTACACGCCCCGAGTAGCAGTTGGCAAAGACGAAACACCGTGAAACGGTGACGCGAATGACCAAGTTTCATTAATGTAGCAGGCAAGACTGTGCATGTAACGCAACTCTTCGACTAATTAAACTCGTCTCTCGAAATTCCTCGACGGAGTGCCTTTTTTCCCCCCTTGGTAGGCACGTGCGGCATCCACGATCTTCGAGCGGCGCCTGCAGTTGTAGGCGGTATGCCTCGCTCTAGTAAGCAGCCTAAACACATCTGTACGTACCAGCTGCGCAAAGCCAGGCGGAGACCGTAATCGTCTAATTTAAGGTTTCACGGCAGAGAGGAGCGTCGGGGATGGGATATATACTCAGTTCAAGGCCACTCTAGGAGACTGTAATGGCCCCTGCCAGGAGTCGCGCCAGCTGTGTTCACTCACCTGCCCACTTGAACGCCTATTATTTGGCGGCTGTTTATATAAAGCCATCAATGGTGATTACAGGTGGCGCTCGTGAGGCGTATAAAATTGGCTAGGCTGTAAGAAACAACTTGAACTTGTACATAAGGCTGTTGTGGGTCGTGGCCGAAATCACTCCGCTGTGCTAATGGAAGAATAATGCCTGTTTGAGCACGTTCGTTTTAGTGGTTGTGATGCTCCGATTATGTGGGCCACCGTCTCCTTTGCATATCGCGAACCGTTTAAGGGTGGGCAACATTTACACAAGATGCGTAGCAGTATCGTTACGGTATGCTTACGTCACAATGTGCTTGGAACAAGATACAAGTTCCTCTTTCGTAACGCTCAGTCGGCGGTCCAGTAGATGGTCTTTCACAGTAGAAATTTCCTTTGCCGATGGGAACTTATCGCGACAGCTCTTATATGGACACTCCACATGAATTTCGACTCATGTCAAACAGTGCGAAATGAGACGAAGAATGGAGAGACATAGGAGAATAAAGTATGTTTATTTTTTTTGTTCGAATAAACAGATCCGCTAGGGAATGCGCGTGATTTCAGATTAACGCTTAAACCTTGAATTTAAGCACAATAATTGTAATTTCTTTCCGCGCGAAATCTTAACAAAGCCCTGGCACAGTTTACATACAGACTTCATCCGTCTTATTTTTCATTGGCTTGACTGCAGTAATCAGGTTTTTTCTATGTGCCCCCCTTTTCTTAACACTTTAGCTCGCTTGGCGCTATTTAAAAACGTAGTACTTCAATTAACTTGCTCTTGTGTCGTAATGCTAACTTTTCTTTACCACAATTTCTTTTAAAAATTTCATGCGTTCACTTTTCTGGAACATAGAACCGCCCAGTTCGATTGGCGTCCTCGTGCAGGCGCTACTGCTTCACGCATCAAGACAACTCCATCGTGTTGCGTACCTATTTGAACACAAGGGTCGGACCTTCGTGCGTGCGCCATTTGTTTGACACCTCATGGTTTTGCCTATATATATATATATATATATTGTAACGGTAGGATGAGAACGACGAAGAAGACAAAGAGGAGGACGATGTTGTCAGATCTGTGAGCCAACTGGGCGCCATCTTGTCCACCACCGAGTTTATTCCTCGTTTTATAAAGTAAAGTTATTCTCCCGTAACATCATTGGTGGAGGTGCGGGGTACTCACTTCACGCAAAACGGAGCTTCGTAGCGGGCGCCTAGTGGTCTCCCCCATGGCGACTGCAGTCAACAATGCCGACCCTTCCCCGTCTACCGTGCCTTCTCCAACTACGTCCGTGCTTTCTCCAACTGGACCGTCAACCCTCATCTTGGAGCCCCCGAGAGATCCAGGTACCTTTTCTGGCACTGGTGGCATTGACGTAGAAGCCTGGCTGAAGTCATACGAACGAGTGGGTGTACGTATGCGATGGGATCCAACGCTCATGCTGGCCAACGTGATTTTTTATCTCAGAGGTACCGCAAAGGTCTGGTACGAGACGCACGAGGAAGAACTGACTAGCTGGGAGTTATGCAAGCAAAAGCTCCGGGAGCTATTTGGCAGGCCTGTGGGAAGTCAACGCGCCGCCCAAAACGAGCTCGCACGTCGAGTTCAGACGTGCACCGAATCATACCTCACGTACATTCAGGACGTGCTCGCTTTGTGCCGCAAGGTAGACTCGCAGATGTCCGAAGCCGATAAGGTTGGCCATATTATTAAGGGCATAGCAGATGACGCCTTTCACCTTCTTGTGTTCAAGAATTCATCTACGGTCCACGACATTATTTCTGAATGCCGGCGCTTTGAAGAAGCGAAGAGCCGCCGTGTTCTCCACCAGTTTGCCCGGCTTCCAAACACGGCTGCAACGTCCACATGCGAAGACCCTCGCCTGCCTTCTACGGAAAGTCCCGGTGACGTTGTCCGTATTGTCCGTCGGGAAATAGAAGCCGCAGCTCCACTCGTGTCAGCTTCCCCCAACTCCGAAAGCTATCACGCCACCGTCTCTCTCATACAGACCGTCGTGAGGCAAGAACTGGCCAACGCCGTCTTAAACGTCTGCTCCATTCATCGTCCAGACTACGCCACACCAAATCCACCCGTGACTGTCCCGCCCAACCGACGTTTTTCTGCCAGCCCACATTATCGCGACCCGGCGGTATGGCGCACCCCAGACGACCGGCCGATATGCTTCAATTGCGGTCGTATAGGCCACATTTCGCGTCACTGCCGTGCTTGGTCCAGCTCTGCTCCGTGGCCTCACCCTCCGCCCCATCGCCCACCTGTCTGGAATTCACGCTCATCACCGAAAACAGAGCCGCTAACGCCTGAGAATTCCTCGCGCCCCCGATCCAGCCGCTCCCCTTCGCCACAACGCCGTTTCTCCCGCTCGCCCCCATCTCGCCGATCGCCGTCCCCAAGCTCGTTCCGGCGTTCACCTCCGGAAAACTGACGGGAGCAGCTCTTGGAGGTGATGCTGCAATACCGACCCGATCCCAAAATCCTCTACTGACCTTGCCCGCACATCAGAACCTTATCAATGTTGACGTCGACGGTGTACCTACTACAGCCCTCATTGACACTGGCGCACACGTGTCTATCATGAACGCTGACCTTAGAGCACGGCTGAAGAAAGTCCTTACTCCTGGCCCAACTCCTGTGGTCCGAACGGCCGATGGTGGAAAAGTCGCCGTAATTGGTGTGTGCTCAGCTCGCGTCAGCGTCGCCGGACACCACACATCAGTTCTGTTTTATGTTTTAGAACACTGCCCTAATGACATAATTTTGGGCCAAGACTTTTTGTCTGAACATTCGGCCTTGATAGACTGCTCTGCCGGTATAGTGCAACTCGCTCTACCTAATGTTGTT